ATCAAATTTACGACTTTACCGACATCAATCATAACTGCCAACAGAATTTTTGAATTTTGAAGGGGCAACCCCCTCCCCCCCCCCCCCCCCCACTTGTGATGCCTAAATGGAATCCCGTTCAGTCGTGCTGTAGAATAGACATACGCCTTAATACGGAAAGGGGAGGTACTAATAAATAACGTTGGCATGGTGATGGTTTGGGGTTCAAGCATTTTATCTACAGCTGTATCTCTATAAACAGGTGTAATGAATTGATATTTTGCCTGGAAGCCGACGACGGCGACAGTGAGAGAGAGAAAGGGAGAGAGAGAAAAGGTGGGGAAGAGAGAAATAGGCAGAGAGAAGGGATAGATATGGTAACAGGGAGAGAAAGATGAAGAGAGGGTGAAAGAAAGAGAGAGAGAGAGAGAGAGAGAGACAGGTGGATAGAGGGGCAGACAAATACTGTGGTGTAGCAATTTGTGGAGGCGATCTCGTCTCTACCATAATATTATGCATGTATGCGATGTATACAATGATTTATTGTATATAAGCCTTGTATGTGATTTGAACCATCTGGCGTTCAGTCAAAATGTCTATATTGACAAGTGAATCAGTGTAAATAAATCTAATTATTCTACATGTCTGTAGCACGTTTTAATTACAGGAATCTAATTTATTTCTAAAATGGAAACTTCATGTTATTCACAGAAATCTACACATATCAGTTCAGTTCAGTTTATTATTTTTTCGCAAGCATAAAAACAATATTATAATATAGGATTTCTCGGTCAATTTCGTAAGTTGGCCACACAAATTCATTTTAAGTTCATTCAATTTCGCCGATTCTGTCACCGCAACTGTTATTTTTCGTTCAATTTTGTTTTTTAGCATTTAAATTCATAAAACGATCATTCAAAAACATTTTATTTTCATTCGAATTAATACGTGTTTCTTGTTCGTAAAGTTTTAATACGGGTTTAATACAATTTAAAGCGAGACGATTCGCGATTACGTATTAGCGTCTTCCGTGAATTCAAATTTGTTTCTTTGCATACAATTTCACACGTTTTGCAGACAAATTAAACATGTAATTCTTACTCAGTATATAGAACCCCGCAAGCTTATAGTTCCATGCTAAATCCATTTCAAATTGTATGGGTTGGTAAGCAACAAACATGTTATTTGTTCTCACTAGGGGTGTATACCCACTAAATCATCACTATTTAGCAACTGAACGATCATGACTGTGTTAAGTAGATATAACCTAGCCACATCAATATAGAATTAGCATGGAACTAAGCAAGAGTGTCTTTTTATGAATATGCAATGATTTAAGTGCATGCAAAGTGTGTGTTAAAGACTAGGCCTACAGATGTTATTTATTGGAGTGTCGTACCATAATGGTGGGGGTATCAATACTCTATACATTGATTTATTTTTATGTTTTGTTTTGTTTTGTTTTTGAAAGTTTATTCGATGTTCGTAATCTCTTTGAAGCCATTTATATTTGTTTAAATTATATTTAGTCTGTATTGAACATGTTAAGAACAATCTATGAGTATCAGTTCAATCACAATCATAATCTCCGTCATCAAAATCTGAATCACCATCACACTGAATCACAATCACGATCATGATCACAGTCACAATTACCATCTCAGTCACAATCGTAATCACCATCTCAATTACAATCACGATCACATACAGTATAACAAGCACAATCACGCTATTCACAATCTGCGCGCACATCTCAATAATTCATGTCATGTGGACATAAACTAAAGAATACACGTATACAATCTGAAATCTTGTTGAGGTTATATTTTAATGATCATAATTACACCATGCATGACATTATCATGTTCGTCTACGTAATATCACTTTCAAAAGATGACCGAGTATATACTATAAAGTCCGTGATGAGAACATCAGTAAGATTATGACCAATCTTATATCTAGAGTTGTTTAACCCTCTTTCTAAAAACACATCACCGGATATCGACCAAGAATGAAAATACATGTTATATAACTCATTTGTTTAATTTAGATGAGAAACATGTGCATATACCATGTATACCATAGGTTTGTAAAGATATGCGAATATGAATGAAAACTTTGTTATTTAGTATGACCCAAAGTGAAATTGAATGATACGGACGTCCGACTTGCCATTGTTGGCGAAAATGAATGCAAACTGCGCATTTGTAAGCGGTTGTTAAATTGAATGAAACAAGTGCTAAATCCATTGACCGAATAAGTAAATCAAATGAAAAAAAAGTGTTATTTTGAATGAAACTTACACGCCGGCAGCTTTATTTCGCGAATTTGAATGAACTTTGTATCAAAATGAATGAAAAGCTTACGAAATTGACCGAGAAATCTATTATACAAAAATGGCAAATATACATAGTAAGAGAAAAAACGGAAACTACAAAAAAGTTTAAAAAACTTGTATGGAGTAGTTCCCAGTAAAAGGAAAAATACATGGTATAAACAATTACAATAACAAAATACAAAACTATGCAGATTAATCAGTAACACACTACACCAACAAACACCAGTAATCATACAGGGAGGGTGGAGGGGGGGGGGGGGTAATGGTAATTGTAAATCTAATGCAGAAAAAAAATGAATAATCATCAATATTATACCCTTTTTAACTTTCCTTTAAATGAAGTTATATTTGTTGAACTCTTTATTTCCTCTGAGAGATTATTCCGCACGCGTGGACCACTGTGTCTTAATGAGTCAAATAAAAACTGTGTATTACAGTTTTTGAGATCTTGCTAGTTATGGTGGAACGATGGCAGTTGAGAAATAGTTGGTCGTCTAAGGTTACTCCTAGAAATTTGATTGTTTGAGAACAACTTAACTGAGCTTTCACAACCATCTGACTATAACACAAGAAATAAATAGTGTTTTCATATGAATGCACGTAGCCACGGGGGGGGGGGGGGGGGGGGGAGGGGGGCACGTGTCTCCCAAAATTTCCAAGATCGGTTGAACTTTTTTAGACCCCTTTTTTTATCTCGATCGATTACATGTATCATGTATAAAACAAAAAAAAAATTGGATTATACAACTGCATATGTTTTCTTTGAAAATATGAATTTTTGTTTCAAATATGATGTATAGGAACTAACTATGTAAGTTTCTTTTGAAGCCGTTTGTAAGACAAAAAATTATACTGATTTATAATGTCATCACATTTGCAGTGAGAGTTATGATGATTGCAATTTGTACTATGATTATAATTTGTTTCAAGAGAGAAAAGAATAAAAACTGACCATAAAAAAAAAAAATGTATGTGCCCCCCCAAAAAAACAAAAAAAAAAAAACAAAAAAACAAAAACAAAACAAAACAACATCAAACTCTGGCTACGGGCCTGTTCATAATTATGTCAAAATGTTCATATGAATTTGAGTTCAAGTGTCTGCACTAATATCAGTGATTAACATAAAGAATAATTAGTCTATTGTCATATAGATTATGTTCACTCTTGGATGAAATGAATGAATGAAAGTCTTATGCCCAATGGGACACGGTGTGTGGAATTTTTTTCATTTTTTCCATTTTAGTATAGGATTTCCCGGCGAAATTCGCGAGTTTGTCATTAGAATTCATTTACTTTGCATTTAAGTTAACGCAGATCGGCTTTGCCATGCCAATTATCATTCAATTTTCCCGTTTTGGTATTTAATTTAGGATTTTGGTCGAAGGGTTTCATAGATCTGTCATTTAATTTAGAAACTGCTCAACTAGCATTCAAATTAATCGTCACTTGTCGAGGCGTCATTTTTATCATTCAAATTAACGCCTGTCATTCGTATTCGAATTATGTTTATTCAAGTTAGGAATGTTAGGGGGGGGAAATGCAACACACGTTTACAGAATAGACCAGTTCACGGTTAGCACATGGCTGCAATGACCCCGAATATCCACAGATCATCAAAACATGAAGAGGTCCCACTTTGTACATTTTGAAATTATCACTCCTACAGCGATGGAGATGCTGCATACTTAGCCTTTGTTTCCCCTTTTCAAAGAATACTTCCACCTGTGTATCATGGAGTGCTCTGCTTGTGCATAAATGAATAATGATTACATTACTTTCATGAGCACGTATCCAGTATTCCATCTCCGTGTATTTCACAATTTGTTCTGCAATGACCTTGATCTGCTCATGCTCAGACTGCAACCGTGAACTGGCTTATTAAAAAAATACAATTAAATGCATGATTTACTATTAGAGTCTTTTCTGTTATTCCATTTATTAATGTTGAGGACAATGCATATGGGTGTAGTCAGATATTGGGTAAAGAAGGGGCAAAATCAAGGGATATGGCATTTCAGCACGGACATGTTCATATACCCCGGAGAATGGGGATACAAAACTACCTACCCCAGTCACAATATTGTACCATTCATCCATAATGAAATTGTGATAAATTTATGATGAAACACAAGACAAACAACTTACTTACATGAACATTTACAAACATATTGAGACCATCAAGTCCGTAGATGTAAAAAAAAATTTCCTTCTTAACAATCAAACTTAAAGGATGATGAATATCAGGTAAATCTAAAAGTATATTATTAAAGTGTATAAATGCAAGAAAACAAAATATGATGAAATACACATGAAAACAAATTCAATCTTGAAAGAAAAAGAATGAGCTATAAAAAGTGTTTAATAAACGAGAAATGTATATTGACCATCCATTTAAGTGCACAAAGTGCTAATTTGAATGCTACAAATGAATTCGAATGCTAAAAGTACACCTTCGCGATGTCAGAAATCGTGTTGCGCCAAATCGAATGACCAAAATAGCGAAAGAAGCACATTATTCATTAATTTTAATGAAACATACATAGATTCTAACGAAAACTTCATAGATTTGAAAACTAGAAAAAGGAATATAAACCCAAGATATTTCTGACAGCACTTAAACTGTCGACTTTGAACGCAAGAAAAATTAATTTAAATGACAAGCTCGCGAATTTGGCCGGAAAATCCTATAACTGCTGCGCTTTCCATTTCATATGTTAAACAGTTAGACTACTTTGTGTTCGGTCAATTCTTGAAAACAAGATGTCTTCATGGTCTTAGAAGTTTTCCTGTCTGAATTCCATTTGGTTCTGTAAGCATTTGGTTGAGAGGATCTCTCCTAGAGCAGGAGAGCCACAGAAGAACACAGTGATCTTGCCTTTGTGCTGCTGTTGCAGGTTTTGGAAAACCTAATGTGATGACGTAAATGAGAAAGGAGCGAAAGACATTCATTATGTTTGTTTCCCGGTTATACTTAACCTTCCATAAATTTATGTATACAAGATAAAAACACGATCAGCAAAGCTGTGTTCCATTATGTTCCTGATTAAAGCCATACAACAGTATTGAAATCATTAAATCATTGCAACCTCTTGCCGGTAGAGACAGAAAAGGGATGCCGAGCTAAACCAGTGATATGAATTCAAGATTACATGCTGATAATTATGGAACCTTAAAAGAAGGATAATTGAATCAAGAGCAAATTAAGAACAATATAATTCTAACAGGATGGTGCCCAGGTAGGGAAAAAAAAGAGGGCAGGGACGAAAATAGAAAGAGAGAATGTGGGTGGAAGGAGAGAGAGGAATAGACATTGTTTCAATATCATTTATCAGGAAAATGTGAAAGGAGGACGACAGAAAGGGAGATTCCAAGGCCTACCTCGTCCCAATTCGGCCTTCCAGTCTTGGTCCTCGTCATCAAGCCCGTGATCGTATCTTGCTTTTTCTTCTTATGGATGAGATCAAGAGCGACGTGGAGTCCGATGGCCTTCATGTCACTGGGTGAGAGAGCTGATGTCATGTAGAGATGGATGTCGAGAAAGCGACCTGCTACGGGTATCTCAGCCTGTTCCAACTCGATGGCGCTGATGAGGCTGATAAACCACTCGAAGGAACGTTGATCACGATTGATCCAAACAAAGTCCACCTTAGAAACAAAAAGAAATTGAGAAGGGAGTGGAAGATAGTCATTCGGTCATCTCGATTGTCACTGATATTAAAAATATACCTTACTATTAATGAGTATTTCAGGCATATTTATTACCTTAATATCGTAATCATCCTCGCCATTAAGCATCTCATCAGAACATCACTGAACTTTCCTCTTTTTGTATCGTTTCCCTCCTTTATTTCCAATCAGTTTATGTCTAACCTGTTGGTGAGACTTGACACTCACTGAAGAATAAAGAAAGCGCAGTATTGTCGAAATAAGTTTCCAAATTCTGTTGGAATATTGATAAATAAATCTTAACCCGTATCACTCCTTTCAGAATCGGATTAAAATATAAAGTGAACACACTTTAAAACAAATTAGTAGTAGGCCTACGCCGAATCTTTTATGATTATGGTCATCAAACACCTTCCACTTCGCTGTCAGATTCAAACCCCGTCTTTTGTTTAATAGTGTTAAATAAAATAATTTCATATAATGATATGAATGTAAATTGTGCTTTTCTATACCTTCTTGGATTTCAGGATAGATGATGAATCGGTCACCAAAGTATGGTTGCAGTTTGGACATTGCTTCCTGGCCGCCTTATATCTCTCGTGTATGCTCTGTAGGATAGAGGCAAAGGGTGTGATGCCTATTCCTGCCCCGATGAGTACGGCATGCTCAGCCTCCATGATATGCTGCGCAGGTGCCCCATACGGACCATCTAATATAACCTGGATGGAACAGGGTAATATACACACAAAATCATGATTATGCCATTCTTACGTTTTTGTAGTACATCCAATGTGGCATCGAGTGTTGAGACGAAGCTTCAAGGTACTTTCAAATTTTGTGATAATTATCATAATAAGTTTGTATATTGTCTGTTGTGATTTGATGCCCTTGTATATCTTTTCACCCTTGATAAGTTTTTTTTTTAATGTCAAAAAGCGGAAGTGGAATGATTGAATTTCAAAATAATCAAGTAAGGTTGAATACCTTTTGCAAGTATCCGTTGATTTTGATGATGACATCACCCATTGCTGTTAACATTTGCATCGATCTACAGTTAACATCGCGTCGTAACACGCATTTACCATTTACTAGTTTAATCAAGCGTCAAAATTTATTATTGATGATTCTTCGATTTTAACAGTGAATTTGTTGGGAGGCCCGCACTTACTTCCAATCCAGTGTGAGGTCTACCGCCTAAATCCTTTGAAAGATCCAACAAATGTCGGGCACCTTTCCTTCTTAACGTCACTAAACTCGTCTTCCTGTTAACATTGTCGTTCGGCTTCCCATCGACGCTTCTCCCTTTCTGAATATCAATGCTTCGGCGAGGGTTCAACGATTTCATTTTGAAACTGTTGCCTTTGACCGCTAAAGTCATAGATATTTCGCCCGGCTCTGCGTGAGGCTGCGAATCACCTTGAGAAGCTACATCTGCAATAGATGGGGGATCAGCAGTACTTGGAAGACTTAATTGTGTTGCATTCACTTTCTTTCTAAGTGATTCATCATCGTTCTGACTAGTGTTACATGGTTTGCCCTCTGTTACGGTCTTGGTGCCATCTTTGACACCATTTTTTTTAAAATTTATTTATTTTCCAAATATGGGAAGGATCACCCTTTTCAGCTAAAAGCTGGTCTTCAAAGGGGTCCATCCACAAGATAAAAAATACGAATTGTTGATAAAATTCATTTGAAATATGATTACAATGATAAACAAGTAAACAAAAACAAACCATCTGGTAATCCTGGCTCGAAGCCTAAGTTGGTTGCACCACTTGCGGCTCTCCTTCTTTTGCTGTATGTTTTTGAAGATCTACGTCCATTATTATTAACAGGTATATCCGAGGTGGTGCTCTGCTGGCTGTTAGGCTCGACGGCGGGTGTACTCTTGGTAGAACTAACATCAACGATGACCTCTAAAGGTGTGTCGTGATCTTTGTTGATCTCGCCGAAGCGTGCTTCGTCTTCAAGAAGAGTAAGCTCACGTTCTCCGACGACATCGTAGAGTCGCTTTGTCCAATGTCCCACACATCTTATGTGAAGAGTCAAGTATTCTGCGTTATAAACAATGCCATACATGGAAATATTAGATGTGCCTGTACGCCAAGCTTCGTTCAGTTGATTGAAACAACCCAAGTACACATGAAATTCGTATGTGAATTAGACAATGTCTTCAAGTTTAAATTTTAGACAAAAAGACATGACGGAAGAATACAAAATAGCTAAAATGGTCCGATGGATTGGTACAAAGCCTTTAATACTACTAAATGCAATAAACATCATTCAGTGGCTCTACCATGGCAACGTACCAAACGTAAACAAGAAAAAGAAAACAAGAAAAAGGAAAACAAACCAAAAAAAAAAGAAACGGGGAAAAAGAAGAGAAAGAAAAAAAACAAGAAAGGAATTAATAACAAATATATATATACAAATATATACAGTGCGTCCTAGAAAAAACGAAACCGAGAATTATCGATGTTTTATCATAACTTAATCACAATTATAATTGATAAATGACACATATTTGTTAAGCTTATCTTTCATCCGATGCAAATTATGATGCATATTTCATGCATGAGTGATTGAAAACAATTTGAAGAGAGGAAACCAAAATGTCATTTGGCGGTCGGTTTCTAAATTTCAAAGAGAAATCACATATCTAGAAGGTTCATTTTCTGCCCTTTCATATGACACCTCAATCAGGAAAAATGAGCCAGGAATAACAAAGTTATGTTTGTTTAAAGTAATGCTTGCATTTCCATAATTTGATTAAACACATTTGTTTTCACTGGCTGTCTGTCGTTGCACCAAAATGAGTTGACAAAAGACTTAACTCCGTTTCGTTAACGGTCAGCCATGCAGCAAGTCTTTCTTCTTCTTTGTGCATGGCTGATTGTCAACGAAAGAAAGAGGAGGATCTAAGCTTTACAAATAATTATGTTTAATTTATTAATTATAATTGTGATTAAGTTGTGATAAATCATCGATAATTCTCGGTTTCGTTTTTTTCTGGGATGCACTGTATTATGTATATTTATATATTAAAGGAGAGAAAGAAATCTAATGAGAGAGAGAGAGAGAGAGAGAGAGAGAGAGAATTTGGTTTAATTTATTTTCATAGTTGATTTTATCATTATCTATTCAGTTTTTGTCATGTTACTTGACTCCATTACCATACAATGCCTACAATTATCATTAATTAACTGTTTTTCTTTTGTGTAATCTTATACTCAGTTAATGTATTCCCATGTTTTTGTTTAACTTATTTTTGTAGTTAATTTTTTTATCATTATCGAAACCATGCATACATTGTGTTAAATGTTTAATAATCCGATATTGTACAGTTCTAATTGTAATTTTTTTTTTCATGTGCTGTTTTTATAATCAGGGCTCTGTGGAAGACCAGATTTTTATACGGGTTTTTATATTTTGTATACTGAACAGACTATACGTACCTGAATAAAGAAGTGAAATAAATAAAGAGAGAGAGAGAGAGAGAGAGAGAGAGAGAGAGAGAGAGAGAGAGAGAGAGACGAAGATCCGTACCTTGTTGTTCTGGTGCGCTGCTAATAGTGAAAGGATGCCACTCATGAGATGCTATGAATGGAATATTAACATGGATGTATTCTCCAGCGTGGAACCCGAACTTAGCGGGACGCTGGATAACAAGCTGTACAACCTGTAACAAAATCGGCAAGAAATGAGTCAGTTTGAATCTCAAGGGCAGTGTCATAAAGACGCTTATTCTTTAAAGTCTTCAAATCTATAGATTTAAGTCTATGAATCTATACATTTCAAGGTCTACCATTGCTTTCGTTCTCTACCTGACGGCAAGAATCAAAGAATCAATCTCGTATTCTTCTTGATTCTCTAAGGCACAATGAGAAGTTGTACCACAGGGATACTGGTGGAGGTGCTTGGGGGGCTACTACACCCCTCAACTTCAAGTTCGACGGCCAAACAAAAGATAGAAAGGAATATGAGATACGAAAGAGAAAAAAAAGAAAGAAAGAGAGAAAGGAAAACAAATAAGAAGAGGAGGAAAACAAAATAGAGCATCGATACATTGTTTTTACAACTGTCAAGCGCGTAGCCAGGATTTCATTTTAGGGAGGGCGGTAGTGGCACTTACAGAGCGCGCGTAGCGCGCTCCCTAGGGGGGAGGGTGCAGGGAGGGGGAGTTTCCCCCCCCCCCCCGCGCAAAGCGCGAAAGCTTTGAGGTTTCATCAAATTATAAGAGAATGAAGACGATTCGTTGGACCATTCTCGACTCTTAATCCTTATCTAAATTCAGTTTCTGTTGACGTTTCATTAGAGAAAGAAGACGATTCGCTGTACCGTCACGGTAAATAATCTTTGTTTGAATCAAGTTCCCCTGCCTCCGCGCGTAGCACGGAAGCTCTGAAGTTTTATTAGATTATTAAAGAAAGAAGAAGATTCGTTGTACCATTCTCGATCGACTCTTAATCCTTGTCTGAATTCAGTTCCCCCCTCCCCTCCCGCGGAAGCTTTGACGTTTCATAAATTATTAGAGAAAGA